ACATACATACATACATACATACATACATACATACATACATACATACATACATACATACATACATACATACATACATACATACATACATACATGTTGAGTTGGGCCGATTTCTAGTTATTGGGCCCAGTTATTTATTTCTTATTTTTGAGTTATTAAGTTAGGAAGTTGATGGGATTTAGGCCCATTAGTTTATTTTTTAAGTTCTAACTATTCAGCTAATTAAGTAGCCGGCCTACTAAGGGCATTCTTGTAATCTCTTATTCTTTTAAGTTGAGTATATAATACAAAGAGAGGTTGGCGACCAAAACTAATTTAATTTTGGTTGACATCCTATTCCTTTTCCTCTCCTCTTTCCTCCTCTACTACTGAAACGCTTCACCTTCTTCTTATTTCTCTTCACAAGGAATTTATCTAAAACGCAAATCAGTGACTTCTACTTAGTACTAGAGTAGGTCGAAGGTTCCTTGAGTTGTTCTATCATGCAACCCTAGATCAGCCGACTGCATGGTGATTTAAGAGGCTGATCGAAGATCTCAGGTAAGCCCAGTTTTTAGATTTTTTTGGTGGATCTGTTTGCCTTGTAGCTGGTCTAGGGTTTTTCATCAAAATCAAGAGAAAATGAAGAAAGGGGGAGAGTCATGTTTCTATTGGACTCTTCAATTTTGACCTAGGAAGTGGCACCTTAATTTTTAGGGTTCCTTGGAGTTTTCTTGGGGGGGGTGTCAAGTCCTACCTATTTTGGAGGTTTCTGGAGAGAGCGGTTGCCTCTTCTCTTTCTTCTCCCGTCCCGCATAAAAAGAATCTTTGTGAGAGGACCATCTAGGGGACCAGTGGGGTGTAATCAGTTCGGTCCGCTACTGGAGCTCGGAACGACTGACCCGGCTTTGCTCCCCGAGCTGCATCTTTTTTCTTTCGACTGTCCCCTTGATTGGAAGGCTCTCCGTCCCTCATCCTCTTTTCGGGCGTGCCCTCACCCTTCTGGTTGATCTCCTCTTTGGTGGCTATAAACCTGTCCGTGAGCTTAAGGAATTCGGTTATGGTCGCTGGTTGGTTGACGACCATGTGCCACTTGAACTCCTTATGCGTCACGCCTTTCATGGCTGCTGCAAGGTGCACGGTGAGGTCCAGGTGCGGTATCTGCATACAAGCGTCGTTCAACCGCTTAATGTAGCCCCGGATGGACTCTCCCTCTCTTTGCACTATGCTGAGGAGACTCTCTTCAGTTCGCGAACACCGCATGCTGGTAACGAAGTGGGACGTGAAGGCTTGCACGAACTGCGCCTAACTTCTTATCGACCCAAGTGCCAGGTTTCGGTACCACATATTGGCTGCTCCTCTAAAAGTGGTGGAGAAGGCCACGCACATGCACGACGCGTTGGCTCTTGCCAGGTGCATCTGAGATTGGAAGGCATCTACGTGATCATTTGGGTTGAACGACCCATCGTACTTGTCCAAAGGGGGGAGCTTAAAGTCTTTAAGCATTGGGACTGCCAGGAGCTCGAGAGATAGGGGGATTGAACTGAAAGGATGGGGGCCTTGACTTCACCCAAGCTTACTTCTTCTTTGCCTCCGAGTTCGGACAGGTCGTGGGTGGCAGACCGGCGAGCCCGGCGGCGTCGTCTCTGCTTCTTGGCGGGTTTGACATTCATGCTGCTCACTTCTGTACTGTTAGGAATGGTGTGTGCAGGAAGCAGCTCAGGTCACTGGTGACGGCTACGGACAGAGGACTCTTGCTTGGAGCCTGCGGCCAGGATATCGAATCGGTTCTCTAAGAATGGGGTATCAGGCTTGGAGGGCTGAGACGTTGCGGGCTTGGCTAGCTGGGGTCCTTCCGACCTTACCTCCCGTGGCGAGGCCGGAGTGGCTGGCCTTTTCTACCTGCTGTGGGAGGAGGCCTGGCTCCTTGGAGGGTTCCGGGGGGGCTTTCCTTGGCGGGAAAGGTGCTCCTCTTGATGATGGGACCTAGCCTGCTATGAGGCTGGGTGC